CTTCTTTTCACAAACACAACGCTTATGTGAGACCACACGTTGAATACGTCATTCAAGTATGGTACGTCTGGCAAAAGCATGACTACATAGCGCTTGAGAAGCCACAACGACAAAAATGTTAAGGGAAGGCTCAACCCCAGTTACCAGTTGAGACTAGTGAGAAGGAGCTTTTAGCGAACAATATCGCCTTCTGAGAGGCAATTTAATATTTGTGTATCAGATCCTCAAGGATTCAAACCACCCATGTCGACCCTTATTATAACTCAACCACAACACCTCATCGAGAAACCACAACTGGGAGTTAGCGACAAGGTATAGCCGGTTGGAATGCTGCCGGATTTTATCTTTTTGCGTATCTCAGCCGCGGAACATCAGCATTTGGTCATATCTGCTTCTAGACTGTCCGAATACAAAACTCGACTTGGTGATGCATTACACCACCTCCATGAAATGATGTTACTGGGACATGCGACAACGTAAGAAAATAATGGGCACACTTAAAATTTGCGGTAAACCCACCACGACGCACTTGTATTTTGATACATACATGGAGTGTTTGTTCTTATATCCGTAATAAATGCATTGTTCCATTATATGTGTCAACTACGTCAACCAGAAAGAAGTACGAGCCCCTTCATGTCTGTACACGAGACTACTGTTCGTCACCTACCCTTCATAAAGCGCGACTTGCGCAAGGCGCCAACAAAGCCGTTGGAGAACAAACCATTCGATCTACACTGATGATACTGCTTATGTCCCTTACTAATGTGCATCTGTTGATTTGCTTTTAAATCATGCCTTTTTTGCTACATGGGTGAAAGCGTGTGGGTTACAGCCACATATTTATCCGTGATAAGGTAATAAAGTACTTTCTTGACTTGCCTCGAGCTGAAATCCCCATCTTCTTATCGAGGAAAACGACAGGTACAAACTCAGAGGTGCAGGATTGGCAAATAATACACAAAGTATTCGGTGGGTAGACATAGGAGAGACATGATCAAGCCATCGTAGGAGAATCCAATGCAATCGAATGGACAGCAACACACAGAAAGCTCCCGCCAGAGCTAAGCAATACTTCACATACCCGCCGTCATGTGTGCTAATTGGGTCTACTAATCCATCTGCAATGCTAAAAGCACGACATTCGATAGTGAGATTCGACGCAAGATGGCATTTGTGAGGTCAAAAACCTAGCTTTCCCGCAATGCCACTGACTCTTCCTAGGTGTGCAACAAGTGCCGCCGCTGCACTTAGTCAGACGAAACCGCATAAAGGTATGGAGAAAAAAGACTCGCGCAGGCTGTCGCCCGCCGTTATCGTGGATGGAGGCTTGTGATGAGTCACATCTGTGACTGCAGACCTTTCGGATATGACGCAGTCGCGCAGTCTGGGGTACTCCTGCAATAGGGATCTCCTACCTAGCTGCTAATACTCAAGTTCAAGTAATTACACTCGCTAAAACCACTTTTTTCTCGTTGTTATATTGTTGACGCGAACCACGATAAATAGATCCACTTCATTTCGGTGCCGGATCACAGCTGTGTAACTGAAAGGAAGTGAGACAAACTACTTATGCCCGATGCTCGCACTTCTGAGCTGCTGGGAGATCACGCGAAGCCTCGGATTTTGACGTTTAATCAATCTACCAGGTATAACATGGAATACTAGGAAGCCAAATCAAGGATAGATTGTTGTCAACTGCTAGCGCGACCTTCAGCAGAAGCACAAGAGCGATACATGAGGGCTACGGAACCGTTGGCTTAATTAACGCTGCCTATAACAAAGTATGCTCGGCCCGCAACCCAAAGGCAACAAGGTTGTCTTGTAATCTGATGGCGCGGGTTCGAGGCTGCGTAGAGGCAGGGCGACCCTAGCAGTATCCTTAGCTCACATACGACCGGTGATAGTTGCACGGCAGCGAAGCATCAGTACTGCGGACGTTTTACTTAGTAGTAAGTATAATGCAGACGCAACGCAACGACCACTGATCACGTACAAAGCACCATACCAGCAGACCCATTGGCCGAGGGCGCGACTGCTTGCTACCGGTACGCGTAAGATTGGCACATCCGAAACTACGTATCCAAAAGAAACAAATCCAAACACCGCAGCTCCCATGGCCATCGTCCAGACGCGAAGAGTCGGGCCTAACACAGTAATCCCATGTGTCTTTCATCACATAGTCACGGAACGCACATTGATAAACTCGATTCGAATGTTCCGATCAGTTGTTACTCTTTGTACCCACAAGTGATTTTGGCAGCTTCTTACCGTTTATTATGCAGTGACTCTGAGGACGAACAAAGCAAGAACAATTGTTTGCTCCGACATCACCGCCTGCGTTTCTCTTTGGGTATAAAAAGCAGTAAAAGCTAATCTGGCTGTCGCCCTGTTAGAAGATGAAGTGACGTACTGAGAGTGTGGGTAGTGCGCTGAAACTTAGTGTACTGATACTTCGAAACCAACAATGGCTGGAATGATGCGATAACAACCATACCAACGTGGTTTCGAACAGGCGACCTGCGGATTATGAGCGCAACGACTGAACCATCCCACCAGTGTTGAAGCGGTGAAGTCTGAACAAACGACTCGGTACGCTGGTCTTCAAAGAGTTGAAAACCGTCTAAGGTAAAGTTATCCGCGGCGTATTTCGTCAGTGAAAGGTGTGCCAGAAAATGTGGCTTTTATTCCGAGGCATTTTCGCTTTGGCTCCCGGAGTCGGGTAGGGGTCCAAGGAAAGCGGTTTCCTAGATTCTTCACGCCAAGTACTGTGCAACAGGAGTAACCTATTCTATTTTTGGCCATAATGCTCACGAATGGTTCATGCTTACCGGTTTCCTCTGGATTAAACGTTCTGCTATTTGACAAACTGGAAGACCTAGTGTGTGGGCAAGGCATGGCAGTCAAACAAGTCTTATTGGATAAACGTAAGCAAGGGAAGGCATAGCTGGGTATGCGTTTCGAAAAACCGAAGCCTACTATACTGCCATATGACTTAACTGATGGGCTCCTAGTTTACAACGGCACTAGATGACCTCTTGAAGTGAGGTATTGGTCGATACTTCCATGTGGTTGTCATCTTCAGTGACCAAACCCCCGAAGACGCAATTGCACAGCGCCCAAAGTATACCGACAGAGTCTTGTCATGTAGGAGCAAAACGGAAATGTTGCGGAGCTGTCAGCGTTGACGCTTGATCCAAAGACACGGTAAATGCGCAACGAATGTTGAAACATAGTCGCCGGTAAAGGCAGTATTGCCCTAATACGGTAGAAACACCCCATGAATAGAATCAAAATCCGCTATTTAGTATTCCATAAAAAATCTCCCGACTCTGCGTTGCTGAGATTTGACCACCTGCGCTCATTAAGTCAAGGCTCTAAAGCTAACTCATAATCTACCTTCGCGTACATTCGCCAAAAATACGTTTGGGTGGAGGGAGCCGGCCCGTAGCTTAAAAGATCGCAAGCCTGTCTAGTAATCCGAGGGCGCGGGTTCGAGTCTGCGTAAGGGACCAAGCGACCCTCGCAGTACCCGTAGTCCACGCGTGACTATTGGTGGTGGTGCAGCATCGAAGCGTCGGTACTGCGTGCCGTCGTACTGCTGATACCTACTATTGCGTGGAGAGATGACTGAAATGCATGGAAGAGTTGAGGTTGATACACATAGTCCTTCTGGATGGAGTCCAAAGGATTAGTAATATCAATGGACAAAGAAGCTTTCCGATACAAAGCAGCTGCGAAGCAATTAGCGAGATTGCATTAGTTCGTGGCTTTTTACAAGGAAACATATAACTTTGGATAAAGAATCGTTGCTCCAAGCATACCAATGTGAAGTACCGTCAACGATTCTGCGCTTGTCGGCGCAAAAATCTCATCAGCATTAGTTACGGTCAACCTAACGACGCGGGCTATGGGATGACTGCGCCCATCGCACCTCGGTGCCTAGACCATAAAGAAAGTGAAGCTGGGGGAAGGAGAGCTCCCAGTGTGCTGCATACTGTACGACCGATTTAATCCTTGTCTAGACTCATAATGAAATGAATGAAGCCTGAGACGCAGTGGGTTTGATGGCTAACACCTTTTGGTCACTAAGGTACGGAAGCAACACTAGCTGAAACTCCGCAAACAGTAAAGAAACAAACATAGTATCGGTTCCAATTAAAACTAGGGTAGTTCTGAGAAAGCATGCTATGTGCATACGCGTCCCTGTCAGTGGCGATAATTAAAGAACCACAACAACAAAGGCCAGTATTCACACTGGGTGAAACCCTAGACCCGGAAAGTAAATGTGGACACCGAAAAGCGCCACAGAGTACAGAACAGTTGCAAACACCGAACTATCATTTGACGAAAACTGCTATGAAAACCGAAGTATGCTGCGTCTCTTCTGTTGCTTTAGAATATGCGTGAGCATCGCGCTGTTCAGGCACCAACATAAACACACCGTGTAAAGAATGTGGTGCATGTCAGCAATTGTTTGTGTGCCGGAAAGCAAGGTAACTCCTCCGGTTACATCTACCGCTCTGTTGGTAAATCGCAACGCGCGTAGTCCGTATGAAAAGATGATCAGATGATGTCATCTTGCATCACTTTTTCAAAACGCAACATTTGAGTTTGCACATTATCGGTGAATTAGTAAACATGCTGAGACAAAACCAAGAAAGTTCATAACTGCAGATCATAAAGAATGTTAAACAGAGTTTCGTGGAACAAAGTCCCCGCGGTGTCCACCACGGTCGATGACGGACATATCGCAGCCCAGTATCAGCAAATTCCTTGTACAATGTAACTGGGACATATCTGTATGTTACAAGCTGGTTAGGCAGAGCAGGTAAAAAGCTCCGTTTGCCTTCAGCTTGTACCATAAAGATATGTCCCAGTTACATTGTACAGGGCATTTGCTGAGACTGCGCTGTGATACGTCCGTCATCGATCGTGGTGGACACCATGAGGAATTTGTTCTACGAAGCTGAAGGAAGTGTTTCTAACTGTTCAGTCTTTCATAGCATCTGAGAAGAGGCGAAGGGGTTGGCGGGGAAATGAGCTGACATGGGAGCACCTGGACCACCTCCGGTCGATTGACCAGGGCCTAGAAGTTGCGATAACATGGCAGAAGAATATTGCGGAAGGGGTTGGCCAGACCTTGAGGTCATTGTGGAACCGGGAACAGGTAGTGGCCCAATGGAGGAAACGTTGGTGAGTGTTGCACAGTTACCACTGCATCTAGAGGAGAACTGTTGCTGTAAATGAGGAGAAACTTGTGGCATCACGCTCCCAGAACGGGGTTGAGTGTTCCCGGAGGATATCTGACTAGAAGAGTTCACCTGTAGAGACGAACGGGAATTACCGGGGTGATCCGCATACCTTGGTGAAGTGCTGGTCTGTTGTTGTGGGACGCCAGGAGTGTACGTTGCACACAATCTGTCGGACTGTGAATAATAGAGACTAGGTTGCGCGCCAACGATGGTGGGGCGGAGGCGCGTCTGTTGAGGAGCCATAGAAGCCCATTGTTGTGCCTGTCCCTGAGGTAAAGATTGGCTAGATGCTAGTGGCATCTGCAAGTGGGACGGGTGACGGCCGCCTCGTACGGCCAAACTTGGTTGAAAAGTGGAGGAAGAGACCTGACCCATGGAGTAGTTGTTCAGTGGTTGCGGCGGAATGATACTTCCATGCATCCCGACTCCCATGGCCTGTTGTTGTTGCTGCTGTTGATACTGAAACTGCTGAGCGTACATGTGTGATTGCTGCAGGAACTGCCAGGCACGTATCAAGTGAGGATTGGAATTGATCCAGCTGGAGAACTATGGGTAAAAATGATTACCGATTAACATAAATTGAGAGCGAAATGGAATGCAGTGACAAAAAAATCTCAAAGAAAAAAAATAATCGAGAGATATCGTAGTTGGACTGTATTCGCAACGAGGCATTTATCGAATTTCATTTGAAGATACACCCTAAGATCACCAAATAGAATCACCATGTCAGGAATGCTGATTTATTTACTCGGTTGGAAAACCACAAGAAAGGACAAAACTGAATCTAATATTACGGTAAACACTGGTGCACTTTAAGTAATCTGGGACTAAGTTCCAGGAGAGTGCTAATCGTTGCTGCGGACGAGAGGAGGCCCTCACAACAAAGAGTGGCTTCAACATGAAATGGACAACAGCCAAGCTGTCACTTCCGTGCACTTATAGCACACGTGTTCCCCACTAATTGTGTAGGTGTGTTAAATAAATATATGCGCCAGCTCCCAATCATTTGTGGCGTCCAGTTGCACGCTTTCCAACAAATCTTTCCGGCTCCCAATGGATGTGCGGTGTGGATGGAGCTGCGCGTGTTGCAGACCTATAGTACTGTGAGCAACAGGTAACAGTCAGGAAACAGATGATATCTATGAGAAGGAATGGTCCGAGACACCTGGATCTTATATGTCCTTGGAAGAATGCAAGGACCAGAGGAGCAGGTGTAAACAACCGCATGAAGCAGTGGTGCACACAGCAACTGATGATGAATCGACCTAAGCCCACGCAATACGAGGCAACTGAGGCAGATAAAAGAGATGGCGCAAGCAGAGTAGTTTAGAACCTACTTACAGTAGGAATTGTCACAGAAGGCTAAGCGCGAGCTGAACCCTTTGAATCCTGAATTAGTTTACCTAACTTTACCTAACATTATTTATGTCATAACGTAGATTTTGGTTAGTTGTAAACGTAAAAAGAAAGAAGTTAAAGCTTTGTAATCATGTTCATGTTTATTTGTAAGGTAGTACTTGTAAGTACCGACAGGAACGCAGGTCAACAACATTACCACCGTGAAGGTATATTGCAGAAAATGACATTCTTGAAGAACACAATTCCTTGATATGTAGAATGCTAATCAGAATCACCCCTCTTCATCTCCCTGTCACCTTGAAGATAAATGTTTCCTGCTAAGACAGACAATTCTAGAGGCAAGAGTGTTGTTCAGCTCGTAAATTATGTTGTTCACTTTCAAATGGTTCCAGCTGTGAATTAATTATTTATTATAACATAACCACCTTTCAGAGTTTCGGTGAGTCGGTCCACAACACTTCCCCCAAATCCAAAGCTGCCTTTAGAATTATGAGTCTCGTGATTTGCCCTGATACCCTTCAAATTCATAGATGTAACCACTAATACAGGCTCGATACCATATTCTACAACCACGTTTCACTGCCTTCATATCAAGATACATGTATAGGCAATACTAAAAATGAAGAGAATAATGGATGTTAAATGAATTATTTTCTGTTGCAAGAACAAAGTTTTGCGCCCCACCCATCGTTATGCCAAATAAGGGCTCCAACCGCTTGAGGTCTGGCGGTACTTTCTGGTAACAACATATATGTTAGGTCAGCATAGTACGGGTCTTGCTTAAAATTTTAAAATAAATATATCTAATCATAGTAGTTCCACTACAAAAATGAATAAAATTTAATAGGAATGACAAGCTGCAACTAAATGTTAACAAATAGAGTAACGACCCACAGTTCTCTGAGACCAATTTTCGACCACGCACGACATGAACCACTAAAGGTAACTCCATACACTGTACAGTAAAGTATGAGTTCTGGCCCTTACCGAATTGCATTATATGTATCCTAGCCAGCAGCAGAAATAACGCTTGCATTTAAGTAATAGTACAATTTAAACAAAGGGTACATATAAGTACCGCCATGACACAAAGGGTTGATAGGAATAGCGATAATCGGACATATCAGAAGACAGGTCTAGCAGGGCACGGTACACTAGCTGGTGTTTCTCATGTCTAGCTGATATGCAGAAAGAAGAATGCCTAGTAGAGTGAGTAAGACAGGTAAACATCATGTAAGAGGTCCGCTGAGCGTCGCGACAACAAACAAAAAGCTATATGTTGCGGCATAAATCAGGAGTCAACGTTTTAGTTAGGCAACATACGAGCTGGAAGATGGTTTGGAAACTGGTCACAGACAGCGACAGTGAACTTACTTCAGCTAGCGCACCACGCTGACGCATCTCATTGTATGTCTGTCTGACAAGGTGGATATCCTCAGTAGGGATCCCACCACTGTTCATTGGAGGTGTGACACAGGCATGAGGAGCGGATGCTAAAGTATGAGACGCTGCACGTGCAACGGTAACATTGGGAGCGCAAGGGCTGTTGCCACTATGTGGGGACCGAAGAGCAGGACCAGAACAGCAATTTCCGAGTGTAGAAGAACTCAAATGAGAAGCAGACGGCCTCCAATGAGGGCCGGGACTACCACAAGTCTCCTGATATAAACATTGCGGTGAGGAAATGGAATGCTGGAGTTCGGCATTACCAGGTAAAGTCACTTGTGACAACTGTCGTTGCTGGGAAAACGCTTGCGGTAGGGGCTGTTGTTTGCACCGAGAGTATGGCGGATGTTCCGGTTCCGGACACAATCGGGAAGTGGATGCAGGCCCATGTGATAAGTAGGGCAAGTTATCGGAAAGCTGTGAAGTCTGGCCGGGATAGATTTGCTGTTGCTGATAGCGTGGAGATGATGGAGCATTAGTGGTCTGAGAGAGACCCGGAGACTGTCGCATCAATTGGGGATGTCCAGTGGTTGTGAACTGTGGGAGACTTGGACCAGAACCGTATTGAGTTGACTGTGGACGCTCAGAGGAGTGCTGGCGGGTATTGAGCTGACCTGAGGCCTGGAAACCCATTTGGCAAGGAACAGTGGAAGCAGATTGGCTTCTGGAAAGCGCGGTATAAGGATAGGCACCTGGAGCAACACCATCCAAGTTGCTAGCATCGGCGGGATCCACATAAGAAGGAAACGGTTGGGGGCCGAAGCTGTACGGGCTAGTTGATGAGTACGGACACGAGGCCGTGTGTTGTGGAGAAGTGATGGACGGCGACAACTGAACTCCCGAGTTTGCTGCCACCGGCTTTGGATGTGAGACTTGTCCGCCAGAACCACAATGATGGATGAAGGATGGTTGCTGCGGTGAGGGCAGAGAAGCCTGGGAACGAGATAAGGGAGATGATATGGGGTTGAAAGACAAGGCCCCAGTAACTGCAGACGTGGCGGGGGGGTAAGGAGACAACTGCATACTGCCTGAGGCCGGGGAAGGAGTGCAGTCAGAAGCTGATGACATCTGGTGGGGAGTGGGTTGTGAAGGACCACTGGGCTGATTTGGTGTCATGTTATGATACCGCTGCATTGTAGCCATGCGTCGGCGCAGCATCTGAGTCTGCTCCAAACGCTGCTGTTTCTGCTGTTGTTTCATCTTAGCTTTCAGTTTCGGACAGAGAGGGACGGGACATTTAAGCTCGTGGCAAGTCTTTGAATGGTAATAACACAGAAACGAGAGAGAACGACAGATGGGACACTGATTGCGCGCCGCAGCTGCATGTACTCGGAAGTGTTGAACGTTAGACTTCATCGTTTTGCAAGCAGACACTCGGCAATTAGCATCACGACAAGAGCAACCGTGACTTAATGCCTTCACCAGACGACTGAGTTTGTCACGTCCGGACTCTTGGACAGCAGCTGAATCGCTGTCCATATCCTGACCTCTGCTGCCATCATCCAAGCCAAGGCCAACCTGAACCATAGGGTGAGGATGATTCTCGGTTTCATAACATCGGGAGCACAGGTCGTACTCGACACATTGCTTACAGTGCCATGGCGTCTCTAACTGCACGCTACATACATTGCAAGTGTACATGAGCGGCTGCCGATTTTCGTTGTGTAATTCGTATAGCATAACCAATGTTGAATATTTAGCACGACGGACAGAGGAGAATTCCAAGTGTTTTTCTCGTGCCCGCTCAAGAAAAGCCCCACGACACTCCATCAGATCAGAGCTGATCAATGGGTCAGGATCTTTGATCGGGGGCAGAGAAGAAACCATGTTCTGTGGCTGCAGTCGAATGACAAAAAAGTTCTCTTTGTGTTTTTCCATAATCTCATATACCCTCCTGGCCACCTCGTTCGCTAAATCGGCAGAACCATTGCCGTTTAGTCGTTTTCTTTTCCCAGTCAGGGACAATGAAGGATTGCGCTTTAACTTTCGTTTCTTTGCCTTCTTTTTTCCCGGATTATTGTCACTATCTCCTGTCTGCACAGTTTCTTTTGCATCCTCCTCCTCGTCGTCGCGCGCAAGAGCCTCCTGTTCGCGTTTTCGACGAGCGTCCTCTTCATCCATTTCCTGTAACAGTGGAACGGAAGACATGCGACTAGTATGGATCATCATGAAAACGACTGAGATCAGAGAGTACAGCATGCACACTCAACCTGAGTGCAGCAGTAGCAAAGAAAAGCAATCGTAATTAATATAAAAATTTTCACCACGGAGGGTGGTGAACGGCGAACGAGTGCAGACACAAGCCACCGTAAAGAAAATAAACAGAGTAATTAGCGGGTATTTACGACATGCTGTTCAAGCTGAATGGCAATTTCCGAGGGGGATAAGAGTGATCCAATCGAGGAAGTTGTAAGATTAGGTGAAATAGACGGTTGTCTACTCTCAAAACAAAGGCATGGGAAACAAGGGCACATGGTTAATGAACAATAATAATAATAAATGATGTGTCAGCTGTATGCCGTAACGGCGCTTCGCTGCCGCGCGACCACCACCAGTAGCACGCGGGCTGAGTATACCGCGAGGATGCCCACCCCTACGCGGATTCGAATCGGTGACCTTATGGTTGCAAACCAAACGCGCAGACCACTCGGCCACCGGCCGACCGGTTAATGAATAGCGGTCGAGAACACCAGATACGCAAAGCGTCAGTTGGAACTGCACAATCTCCCGCTTAGTCTTCATCCTAAATTATTAAGTATTTAATCGCACGAGAATTCACTACACAAGTCAACGGAGAAATGAGTTTTCGTAAAATGAACAGTTCCATAAAGAAGCAAGCAAGTCCAGTGGCCTAGAAGCGAAAACGCGCTGCGCAGTGGCATAAGTGAACGCACACTCTAGTTCAGAAACATGGCTGTACATGGCGTCGCAGTAGGATGCAACCCGATAGTTTAACTGACTACAGTGAAGACGATTGCAGTTATCGCGTCGTCGACAAAAATCAGCCTGAGGTCCTCGGTAAGCACAGTAACGAAAGCACACTCGGAGCAAGTATGGGAGTTATGCCACACCAAATATCCAGATAAAAACCAGGTGGTCAAGATGCCAACGGTCAATAAATGTATCACAGTCTCGACGCGAAAATTTCAAACAAGACGGAGTTTGAACGAAAACACTTCAAGATAAATAGTAAACTGTGAAGTTCTAGTAACCTAGCATTGCTAGCTTTACGTGAATTAGGTCACCGTAATTTTAGCGAAGTATCAGTTCACATAAATGGTGTACAGTTGTTGAAGATGATGATAAGTCGTGATGCACGACTTGCATCGAAATGCGGTTGATTCAGTTGTAATGACCCACACCGCTAAATAAGAGTCATAATAGGAATGACTTAAGTTGTCCATGAGAAATGGACAAAAAAGCTAAGACCAAAAGATGCAGGGATCGAAAACCGTTAATGTGTGGAGATGTACAGAAGCACGAAGGATTTCGTGATCGCACCCTATCTAACAGAAGGCGTTGATATGACCGATCCAGAGACAATAACAAAGATGACAGGTACCAAACTAGACAAATATCTCTGTCGGTTTACGTACGCTTTTTTATATTGCCACTAAGCGGCCATCTGGGGGCTTTAGTCAGAAATTCGGTTGAGAGTAGTACAAAAGGTGACTCGTAGTTAGTGTACGCGGTCGAATTCAGCAGCTGCTGCGATTTAACGAGTAAGATCTGTGAATTAGCATGTAGTGAATCAAGCTGTCATGACTCACATCGTCGGAGAAGTGATAAGAAGGTTGTTGACTGAGGGGTGAGCAAGAAATCGTCAGATGGAGCAGTTAAACGAGGTAAACAAAGGAAAGTCAGCAACAGCAACCTCGACTTCGTGAACGTGTCATATCCGATGAAGTAGCTGGCCATCATCATCATCACCATCATTATACACGTTAGCTGTAGGTGGAAAACACTTCAGCTATTGTGCCGCAATACTAAAAACAAGAAGGAAAAAAGGTACAAAAGTGGCACGCCGGCTGAGTCCCCAGTAACGGATGGACACTATTCCGGAGAGCTAACAACCGGCTATCGTGCCGTAAAATGAGTTATATTATGCCTAGCGAATGAGATCGTGATTGGAAGGTGAGGCTAAGAAGGACGGGATGGACAAAGGAACTCACAACACAAACGCCATTGGGGCCGGCTCGCAGCCATATCAGCAATCGTGTTCAACCAAACGTGTTCATCGTCCTTAGGACCCCAGTCAGGCAGTCGGGATGCACCAACCGACGCCAACTTCGAAGTAAGTATCTGACCAATGGTGTGATCAATCCCCATAGAGGCGACAGGCGCTTATTTTAAGCCTTTCGGTGCAATGCGAGGCTAGAGAGATAGTATCAAACTAAATAATTAACACCAGTAGTACCATGAAGTTGACTTCAATAGATGTAAGTGAAACTGAAGTCATCGAGGGTCAAGCATATCCGGTCTCTTACTATTCCCAGCGAACAGTGGACACATCTTTCGTGGTACGCGACAACAAGCAAAAAGAAAGTCATGGTGGCGGTCAGCAGTGTTTTTTATTGCCACAGGCCTTGCATATTGATAGAAAAGATACACTATTTTCTTTCGCTGGATTGCAGTGAGTAGCCCGTCATCTGGTTTGCCTTATTGGCTGCGTTTTCCTTCCATGCTGTTTCATTGGCTCGTGGTTGTCCCACCATCCGCTCTATTCCTGGACTGCGTCTCGATGTCGTATTTCCTCGGACCGCTGATCCTCGGCTGGTACCCGATCGGTCTGTTGTTAATAGGCATTTTGGGTACTCAGTGATTACCCATCGTTTGGCTGACCAATCTGTTCTTCCGGCTTTTCAATATGCGTAACGTGCTATTGACATGTTTGCCGCACCACAGTGTTGGCTTCCTTTCACGTGACTGGTCACTGACCCATCGCGGTGATCAAAAGTCCAGTCGCGTGAGGTTTCCTCGCTCGGGCGAACCTACTGCGTTCTATGATCCGCGTTTAGCCTATGGGGCAGACAAGGCTTAGCCGATTTCTCAAACCGCATTACATCGTTCACTCCTAGAATACACTAACCGAGTTGAAGTACTAACCCGTCATTTATCCAACACTGATGAATATTTGTGATTGTTACCAATCACAATGGTGTTTTCGTATGAAAGCACGAAATGGCGATGTCCCTTAACAAATTACATATGCTGATTTTGCTGTTTGGAATTACGAAGGATGCTTTGTTTCACATTTGAGACACATAAATGCGCAGTCACATTCGCTAGAGAATAAATAGTCAATCGCTAACAATCGATAAGTGGGTCTTATTCGATCACTCCATCGAAAGTCCGCAAAAACGTTCGTTGTGGCGCTTTCATTTAGAAGTACATGTTGCCACTGAAAATGAGGGCAATGGTTAAGGTTGCAGTTTCGCGCCTTTAAAATATTAACGACACCATTTCCGAAGCGGGATTTTCCAACACATGCATGCATAATGGAGGGATAACGGAACACGGGCAGTGACTCACTCCTGCGAACATGCCGTGTACCATCCACCACAAATATGTCCATCTAGCTTAAGGCTTCTGTTGTATACACCAGAAGACGACATCAGATATTTGCGGCAAATATCATTAGTTCTGAATGCACACAAATAACAGTACTGATAACACTACATTTATCCTCTCTGTTTGCAAATCAATTGGTTGGCCGATTGAGATATTTTCACGCAAACACACCATAAATGGATTTCCTATTCGGCCGAAGAGAGGCATACTCGACTTCCCACAAACGAGACTGGACCTTAACGTGGTGCGACGGTTTGCGTAACTCATTGATCCATTGAGCTATACTGGGTGATGCCTCCGAGCATCTTGAGAGCTACCCCTACTACCAGGTTAGTCAATGGTGAGATATCAGACAAACTCAGTCTCCTGGTCCTCCAGGTTGGGGGTTTGAACTGGGATGACGTCCATTTCTGTAAAACTAAATCATTGCAACCTCCCCGCTGCCTTGCGGACAGGCTTTTGAGACAAAGGCTTTGGATGAGGACCCTAATCGTCCTTCTGTCTAGGTCTGGGCGCCCTGGCAGTATCTCAGCCCACATACAACCATGACATTTTCTTCAAACATAAACTTCATCCTGCATCGGCCGTCGCGCAGATTATCAAGGGTCGCCTTATCTGCTGCATACAGCAGGGCGGATAAGCGAAAACATGCTACTGCTGGCGCCTCCATTCTTTCTTTTCCACCTTTTTCTCTTACTCCCATCCCGGCCCACATTACTAACCTTCCTTCTATAATTCCCAGCTTAATTGACAGCAACCGAAGTGCCACTGGAGTAGTACCGTCTGCAGCCACCATCCCACGGCACCTAGCGGCAAAAGTCCCTTATAAGGCCAAGCTCTCCCGCTTCCATGGCGACATTCAACATCCGCACTCTAAGACAAACAGGTCAGCAGGCTGCACTCGCACGCACCTTGGACACACTGGGTGTTGATGTGTGTTGTGTGTCCGAAAAAGGGATTAATGACCCTAACGGGGTTATTGAATTAACTGTACCCGGCTTATCCTCTCCTTATTGGTTGCACGCATCCGCAGACGCCGATGCGGCACTCACGGGTCAAGCTGGTGTAGGTATCATTCTCAGCTCCAAGGCTGAGCCATCGTTGGTTGATTGGATTCCGGTGAACAGCCGTTTATGTGCTGCCCGTTTGACGACATCAGCTAAGGTGAATTCGCGAAGTAAAATAAAACGCTGTTTGTTTGTGATTTCTGCTTATGCTCCCACCGACTGCAGTTCTAATGCAGTCAAGGACACTTTCTATCACGAACTGAACGCTCTACTAGGCAGCGCTACTAGTTCAGATATTATAGTACATGCAGGGGATATGAACGCACAAGTAGGGCGTCTGAGCTCTTCAGAAGCTCAGCTGGGTGGTAATTGTGGGCTTAACTCCGAACGGACTGATAACGGCGAGCGTCTGCTGCAACTGTGTGCGGAGCACCACTTGTTTCTTACTAGCACTGCTTTTAGACACAGTGGACTTCGAAGTGCCACTTGGCGTCCACCTGTAGCTGGCCAGCGATGGACCCAAATTGACCACATAGCCATAAGTTACAGGTGGCGCGGTTCCATTCTGGATTGCCGCTCGTACTGGAGTACCTGTGTCGACTCTGACCATGCCTTGGTGCGCTGTCGTTTCTCCACGAACTTTACCGGAAGGCGCACAAAGCGTCTCCCCCGATTGGCAACGGAGAAATTGTCCCAGCCCTCTGTCAGGCAAGCCTATCAAGAAGCACTGCATAGCGAACTCTCGCTGTCTTGTCCTAATGACACTGAACTTCAGTGGAATGGGATCTCGGTCACTATGCACGACGCAGGAGCTTCTGCTTGTGGCACTATCCATCGTCACCGCACTAGTCACTGGATATCGGAGAGGTCGGTGAACCTGTTGGAAGCTAAAAGACACCTCCCGGCTGGTTCTGAACTCAATGTGACCAGACGGGCTATTAGGCGTGAAGTAAAGCGGAGCCTACGTGCTGACAAGGAAGCCTGGTGGACCAGTCGGGCTCAAGAAATGGAGGAGGCAGGAGCAGTAGGCAATTACCGGAAGCTCTTCCAGCTAATACGCATCACTGGTCCGAGAAAACCAGGCGTCAGTGAGACAATCAGGGACAGCGCGGGTGCGCTGATACACAATAAGGAGCGCCGTATGGCTCGTTGGGCTGAACACTTTGAAGATCAGTTCAGCTGGCCCCCTGCTGCCGGACCTCTTCCTACTCAGGTGATGCAGGACGAGCCATGGACGGTTAGTTTAGAGCCTCCGTCGGAGGCCGAGGTCCGAAATGCGATCACAGCCCTCAATCGTTTTCGTGCCGCTGGCCCGGATTCCCTACCACCTGCACTATTTAAGGATGGTGGTGAGGTCCTCTGCAAAGCACTGACCTCCCTATTCGAACGTATCTGGAACGAAGAGAGTGTGCCGGCTAATTGGAGCGAATCGATTATAGTGACAATATACAAAAAGGGCAGTCGCACAGACTGTGCGAACCACAGGGGTATTAGCCTAACGCCAGTTGTGACAAAATTACTGGCCTCGATTATCGTTCGTCGCCTCACTGCAGAACGGGAATCTCGGATTAGGGAAGAGCAGGCCGGTTTTCACCCAGGACGTGGCTGTATAGACCATATATTCACTTTGCGGCAGGTGCTAGAGCAGCGCCACGCATACCGCAGACCGACAATAGCTGTGTTCCTCGATTTCAAGAGTGCGTTCGATTCAGTCGATCGATTGATTCTGTCCGAAATACTTGCGCGGAAAGGTGTTCCCACGAAATATGTGAACATCCTTCGTGCTCTATACTCGAACACTAGAGGCCGCGTCAGGGTCTATGGTGCCCTATCGGATAGCTTTTCGACTACAAGTGGCGTTCGTCAGGGTTGCCCGATTTCCCCGTTTTTGTTCAATTTCGTCGTGGATTCTATCATGGAGTGTTCCCTTGCGGAATCTCACGATGTAGGCGTTGAAGTGCTCCCTGGTGAAAGATTAGTTGACCTAGATTATGCGGACGATATCGCCTTGCTTTTCGACGATGTTGCGGCGGCACAATCAACCCTGAATAGCCTATCCAGAGTGGTCCCATTATTTGGTATGCACTTCGCACCTTCAAAGTGCAAAGTGTTGCTGCAGGACCACCAGCCACTCGATGACCCCTTGACGCTTGCTAACGAGGAACTCGAGGTGGTTGACCATTTCACTTATCTTGGCAGCTGCATCAGCAATGATGGGCGCATAGAAACTGACGTCAGCTCACGTGTTGTAAAGGCCAGAGCTACCTTCTTGAACCTGCGGCATCTTTGGCGACAGAAAGGAGTTTCCCTCCGTCTGAAAGGCCGTGTATACAAGGCCACAGTGAGGGCCGTTTTGCTGTATGGTAGTGAGACTTGGCCCCTTCGGTCTGAAGATCTGAGGCGCCTTCAAGTCTTTGATCATCGTTGTTTGCGAAGCATTGCTGGTGTCGGATGGCACCAGCGTATCCCCAACGATGATGTGCGTAGGCGAGTACTAGGTAGTGATAAACATGCTAGCTCCCTAGAACAGCAGATAGCACTGAATAAGTTGCGTTGGCTCGGGCACGTGCTACGCATGCCTGGTCACCGCTTACCTAGGAGGGCCTTGTTTAGTCTGCCAGGTGTAGGGTGGCGCAAGGCTCGCGGTGGACAGAAGTTGACTTGGCAGCGGGAAATGAAGTCACTGACGAACAAACTCGGTGCCGTTGGTCCGTCTCGCCTTCCGGGTTGGAGTCCACGTGACTCACCTTGTGCTTGGCTCGAGACTTTACAGGACATGGCTCGCAACCGACACCAGTGGCGCGTCTGCTGCCGTCTCCTAATCGGAGTGCCTGTTTAAACTATGTTTGGTGCTGAGTTATCTGCGGGGTAATGGCTGATTATGACGCGTGGCAGTGAAAGCCGCAAGGAAGCTGTCTCGCCGATGCCGCCTTATCTTTGCACGATAGCCAGCTGTTTGTGACGGAATGTTGTCTACACAAGGTGTAGGCGCCTTGACCTAGAATGTTTGCTTAGGGCATTAAGGTTTTCAGGTAAGTCCCCCTTCTCCCCCTCTTCTTATTCTTTATTTCATAGGTCCTCGTGGTTGTATGGCAGCGAAACATCAGTTCAAATGGCTGATGTACTGCTGTTGATGATGATGATGATGAAAGGTAATTCATTGGCAATGGCCCCTTCTTGGATGACAACAGCCATCAGCGTACAGGCTCCACCGATCCCAGACACAATGCACAGAGATGATGTTTGGTTTGTTTAACGTATTTCTCTAAGCTACGGTCCACTTGATCCGTGATCGTTAACGTCGAAAGATTGAATGCGATGCCTTCATCGTTCACTTAATTGGCTCCACACTTAACAAACTGGAGAAACACAAGCCTCTGGCAGCCGAATAAATTGATCCGGACCCAAGCTCGGGTAGCTGAATAAGTCAACAGACAGCTAGTCTATTCGATTCTGCAGTGAAAGTAGATCGTCTACTTGTTGCGATAAGTTCCGTGATACAGTACACTGCGTAAAAATCAAGGCAATACTCTGAAAAAAGAATGATTCCTAAAGTTTGAAACATATCCCGCTTGTGAAGAAGCATACCAGTGTCGTAATTTGCTGAACATGATGAGTCTGTACATATACCCCGTTAGTTTCGACAAAACTTTACTACCTTTCTGTTCCTCAAAGACTATTATTATTATTATTATTATTATTATAGTGATGTGTATAAAGTCAACTGGGCCCATCACACTTCCGTGTGCGAAGTGCAAAAAACAAACTGAACTGAAAGATTTTAAGTGTTTCGACTATAAGAGTCTATACAGTAACCTAAGTAGATATACTGAGTGAATGACTATAGTGATCGTCGCATGACTTCGAAAATGGGTCGCCTGTTAGTCTAGTGTCATAACATTAGTCCAAACACAGAAGGTGCGAAGCACATGCTTATGAGTGCAACGTTACACATCGGCCTGTACAGCATCACTTGCGTAGTAGTTGGATTCGATACACCGAAATGAGTTTACGTCCATCAAATAGGTGTCCGTCATTTCCCAGGAACCCAATCCCATCGGGGTAAAATAGCTGCTATTCACAATGGTTTCGGCTACAAAGAAAACGGGAGGGACAGTATAGTTCTGGTGATCTCCACTAAGTAGAGTGAACTCGGGGGAGGCTTCTCATTAAATCACGCAGGGCACGGAGAGTGATATAGATTTTAGAAAAGAAACAAATTTCTCTGGTACGCCTTTCAAAACTAGCGGTCATCAAAAACAGGTTGGAGCAACCGAGTCATGAATAATTGAGAGCCAGCATTGGCGCAGATAAAGCAAAATAAAGCAAACAAACCCCCCAAGTTTCCTAGCGAGGGTAATGAGAGCTCAACTTGAAAAGAAACCGGGTAATGAAAGAACAAGGCTCACTTTAAACAGCTCTTCCAATGTGTTCGGCCAGAAGTCGCCTTCGAAATAAGCCAACTCAGTTGGAGACACCAAGCGGGATTCGCAAGCATCTTGACAGATATCCTTATAGTCTACAACAATGCGCTCCAATAAAGCCTTTTTCAACATCTTCTGATACCACTCTTGCAAGCGCTTCGGTTTTGGGATCTTTTGATCTGGTGGATGCATATGAAAGATGTAGTCATCGCCTTCACTTGGCGGGCAAGCCCAAATGTGTGCCATAGTAAAACCCAACAGTTTCGCGTAATGGATGTAACCGACCAATATTTCATGGTAAATATCCGTCCGATATTGCTTTGGGCGAAAAAAGTACACAGAATCCAAATAGGCAAGATAAACGCGCCTGGTATTAGGATAAGGACACTCCGAACCGTACTCCTGCACATGGAGACCGAAGAAGCAGACCTCCTGTCCGTCTATTTCCTGAAAAGCAAATATTGCTTTCACTCTGTACGGGAATGACTCCGGCATCTCGCCAGACTCGCAAAATCTGGCTTTCATACCGGGTTTGACCTCCACAGTCTTGTCCGCGGCCGCTAGGACACGGATGATCACATCGCCGGTGTTAACACCTTTTTTCTTCAGGAAGTCATTCACTCGTTTCTCAAGGAAAATGCTCAATTTACAAGTGGACAATTTGCGAGCCGTAAATCGATTCTCTGGTCGCTTAAGACCATGATCCTTAATACATTGAGCGCAAATGAAACCGTCGGGCCAAATTTCGTCCAAATGGATAGCACAAACGCGATGCCACTTGCGACCGCATTTCCGACAGAACACGAACGGCTCCTTCTCTTTCTTGTCGTTTTTGCATTTCTGCATCGAAGCTTTTTGAACGGTTCTACAAAGCAGAAAAAGGTAAGAATAAATCAACTTACACCACCGTTGAAGATTCACTATCCAACCTGATTTCATCTCCGGCTTCATTGTAACAGCGTTCACATACGGTGTACTTTTGTTCCAACAAGCCAGGTAGGTGGTCACTGTAGGAAATCATTAATGGGGTGTACAAATGAACCTACTCGTTCTTGTAAACGTAATACACCGCATCTTTGTGTATAGTACAAAATTTCGGAGTTAAGCAGGTAAGCGGAGGTGGCTGATAGTAATATTCCCGACCACAGCAGAACCCGAGTTGCTGCATGACAGGATCAATCGCAGCTTCAAAAATCTCTGAAAGCTAAAGTGAACTTTCATTCAGCCAAAACAGACAACTCACTCTTGTACAAGTTTTGTATACTTTGGATGTCTTTTTATTATACAACCAGGCATTATTCAACATAAGCCAAAAATCATCCACCACGTTCCATGGGTCTTTATATTCACGATTTTCCAGCTTTTTACGGATAGTGGACAGATCCATTGGATTTGAAACTATTTGGGGATAGTCATATATTTCCAAAGACTCCCAATCCACAGGTTGCAGGAACGGCTCTGCGTCCTTCTCCTTACTAATTTTCTCAACAACTGGGATGAAATAGCGAAGTAGTTCATTTGGGTACCAGATGACACGACTCGTCGGTTCGCGTGCAGTTTGTGCAGTGCTAGAAGATGAAACCACCTCCTCATGCTTGACCATATCTGCTTTTATACGTTCCACATCCGTGGCCTTGGATAGAGACTCCGATTCAACAGCATCCTTGGCTGGAGAAGGAGAAATGGAAACCGAAGGCTTCGTATCAACGAGAGGATGGGAGTTATCGTCTGTACATGCTTCTGGCTTTTCGTGCACAAAGTTCTCCGTAATGCATGGATTTTTCACAGTCGAATCGGTTTGAACCACTGTGGATGGAGATTGCATTTGTTCTTCCGGCTTATTTTTCACCTCCGATGCGTCAGAAACATTAACACCCTCAAACCCATCGGATATGTTAGTTGCAGATAAGTCACATTTCTCGGAAGATCTGAGCTCAGAGGACATAAGATCAGCACATTCGCTAGATGGTTCCGAGGAACGTGCGCCACGCAGACGCCGTTTTTCTCTTAACTCAGAGTGAATACTTTGATAGCATGTTGTCAGGGCCGCGTAGTAATCCTTCACTGACTTGGACTTCATGAATATGTCTTTCTCCATACGCTTGACGTGGTCCAAAAATTGGCGCATCCTAGGGTCGCTGTAGGCCGTGGAGTTAGCAGTGGGGAAAATGGATAGTGATACATTGACACTAAAAAGAAAGAAATTAGCAATTTTTGAAGCAGGAACTTACAATTTTTTCATGGCTAGCTCACGTTGTTGGTCGCTAAGATGGAAAATGCTCCGGTTACTCCCCCGACTGATTTCGCCATTCACAGTCAGAGCGAAAGAGACGGACTTTTCTCCCTCTGGCGAAGATGAATGCTTGACACCATTAGGAGGAGAAAGATCAGACATAGAATCTGAATTCGATGTACCCAAACAGGGTAAATCACAGTGATTTGTAAAAGCATTCGAAGTGGCCGGAGAAATGCCGATTTTGACAACGGGCTTTTGTACAGCGCCACACACATCACACGATCTATTCTGGCAACGTCTGAAGTGACGGAGTATGAGTTTAGAAGAGCGACAATGAGGAAAGGAACAGTTCTCTTCAGGAAAGCAGCTCTCAATGTGACTCAACACTTGCTGCATCACACAACAGTGTCGAATCAAACAGCTGTTCGACGAATCCTTGCCCAACCGACGGCAATGTTCAGCGTGAAGCAACAGCGCTAAATGTTGCTGCATCAGTAAGTGATTTATCGACACGGAACTTTTTTGAAGTCGATCGACGGAGGTGGTCGAAACGTCAACTTCTTGCTGTAACATGGCGAATCGAATTGACTGAGTAAGCTGAAAAAGGATAACTAGTAATGAGGACGGTTTCATTAAACAAAGATAAAGCTACAACGCGGCGAGTAAGAAAATTCGTCCGTATGCCGCACCGTTACGATAGTTCAACTATAACAAATACGTGGCAGAGTCCATGATAAACAGTGTTCAGCTCGTAACGAAACTTGGCCGAATGCGATGCCAGTTTCCTCGTACATTCGACTTGGCAATCTTACGAAAATATGAAGTCAAGGATAATTATTTGATTAAGAAAACGTCCGGATTTGGTAAGCACGTGGGGACAATAAAGTCATTATGAACCGGAAACATATCGGCAAATCCTCCAAACACACGTGACCCTACTGACACCTATGATGAAAGATGTCGAACATTCTGAGAGTCATCCACATACAAGAGAGAAAGCGTTTGGTTTTTAGGTTCAAAGAACCGCCATGAACTTATTAATGTAGTCGAAAAGTGCAGTCACGCTAACCATGTAAGCAACAGATTCGCTTTGGGGTTGGAGGAATTCGTAAAACTTCCGAGTCAAACCAAAACAAGGCCGGAAATAAATTACGGCACTCAACAGTACCCGTGCAGCGTTGAAACACCAGGGTCTTCACAAAGTATGAAAGAAATGCAAATCGCCGCACCTGCCAAAAAATCACAAAACTCAAGGGCAGTGAGCGGAATCCACCGGCTCTTTTATTGGGTCACATAACCCACCCAATTGCATCACTGCAAAGACCATAGAGGAATAAAACGCGTTGGAATATTAGTGGGTTCAAGGAGGTTGGGGGCAATGTGTTTCGCGGTCAACGTGCGGTGAGGGGAACAACTGACGGTCGTGCCCATAGAGGGAGAATGAAAAAATAAATAAATAAGTGGTTGACGGTATCCGGTTTCGGATTTGTCTGTCACTGTGGCCAGGCACAGGACGCCTGCGCCTACAGAGGTGGCTTGCGCTGAACCACCCACACCTCCGTCCACACACCCCATATCCAGCGTAAACCCGAAAGAATAAGACCGGGAGACATGTGGGTGGGAGCCACGTTTCATCAATGGAGCCGGCCCACACTCCTTCACAGGCAAACACAAGCACACTGTATTTGGGAATCAAGCGCACACAAGGCGGTGGCTGGACCGTAGTCCGCTCCACACTGACTGCATGGAACCACTCTTCGAGCCTAACACGGCCACAAGGACCGTGCACCCCGTCCCCTCCAGCAACGACCAACTGTCTCCTGGAGCCAGTATGGACGAGGTAGTGGGTAATAGACAGGTAGGCACCTTGTCAACATGCACATCAAGCGCAGTCACATCGGGGATATCAAGCGATAGCCAATCACTTGAGAAAGAAATATGAAGAAAATAACTCGATTAATGCATAAGGAAACGTGACATATACCTTAAATTAATGAGCATATGAAATAAGTTGTTTACAAACGAATCCTAAATAAGTTCACGAGGTCAGAAAATATATTTCACGGAAATGTCACAAACACGAAAATTTCATCGAAATTAACTACAATTGGCTAAAGCGAGGTGGGCAAGGTAATGGAATAGAGTACAGGTAGACATACGAGAAAGCAATGCATTAGGGCAAAATTGAAAACCCACCACCTGAAATAAATAGACTTAACATGCAAGCACGCGGTTAGTAAATCGAATGCAGCGTACCTACAAACGCTGCGCCGGTTCTCCCTACGTTCTCTGCAGGATCCGTCGTCGCTTCGGTAGTGGTCCCGAGTGGCCTCGCTCATGGCTCACTAGGCCTGCCTGGCTCAGGCACTCGCGACCGCATGTGCTACAACACCATGCGCTCGATGTCGATGGAGTACAACCCATTGGTGCTTGCCGCTTCTTCTCTGCATGTATGAGGTCTTTCTCCCGCACTTCGGCAATCGCATTCGTGATTAGATCGCGCCATGCACACCGATCAACCGCCTTCGATTCCCATGACCTGCAATCAAGAGCAGAACGTGTGAGGCTCACTTTAATCATGTCCTGATAACGTAACTTTGGTTTCCCCACATACCGCTTCCCAATACTCAGCTGACCATATAATAGTTGTTTCCGTATCCGCGTCGAATCCATACGGCTCACATGACCGAGCCACCTCAGGTGTCTCAATAAAAGTATGCAGTCCACTGCATACATCCCACTTTGTCGCAACACTTCCGTGTCTGCAACTCTGTCGCCCCAACAGATGCGCAAAATTCGTCGCAGACAATGCTGATGGAACCGCTCGAGATATTGCACATCCCACCGGTACATCGTCCACGTTTCACTGCCGTATAGAAGAACGGACAGCACCATGGATTTGTACACCATCAGCTTCGTGTTAATGGTAAGCTGATGGTTGTTCCACACTCGGTACTATAGCTTCCCGAATGCCGCCGCCGCCTTCGACACGCGATTACGCAACTCCCTGTGTAGCTGCTGATCAGTCGACATCACACTCCCAAGGTAGCAGAAGCAGGAGGTGGTTTCCAATACTTCAGCACCAATGCTGATTCGCAGCAATATTGAAGATTGCACCTCCGGTGAAGGCTGAAAGAGACAGACAGTTTTGCTTGTGTTGAAGGTGAGCCCGGATTTGGCCACTGTCGAAGCCAGAGCACTAGTCACGTGCTGCAACTCATCCGCGCTCTGTGCAAACAACGCACAGTCGTCAGTAAACAGCAACATACGGATAGTTGTCTCACAGACTAGAGTTCTCGCACCGAAACGACGGACATTCAACAACCCACCATCAATACGGTGCTCCACACGAACACCGTAAGCACAAGTGGCATCAAAAGCACAGGACAACATTGCATGAAGATATATATTAAACAGGGCAGGAGCTAAGACACAGCCTTGCTTCACACCAGAGATAACTGCAAAGTCATCCGAGGTCTCTCCACTCAACTGCACCCTCGCTCGCATACCACTGTGCAGACATTCAATTAAACTTATAAACTTACGCGGGCAACCAAACTTACCCAACACCAGCCACAGTGCCTCGCGGTTCACCGTATCAAATGCCTTGGTGAAATCAACAAAAAGCGAGTACAAAGGCTGGTGTCGTTCTCTGCACTTCTCTTGCAACAGACGAGCCGCAAACACCATATCTATAGTGCTGCGACCCGAACGGAATCCACATTGCTCTTCCGCCACGTTTGGTTCCACAACCTGACTGACGAGGCGGTTGAGCAGGATTCGGGCAATCACCTTGCCCACACAACTCAGCAAGTTGATGCCACGATAATTCGTGCAACATTGCTTGCTACCTTTGCTCTTGTACAGTGGTAGTACAAGGGCATCCTTCAGCTCAGGAGCCACCTCCTCAATCCATACGCATTGCACCAAGTGATGCAGCGCAGTCAACAACGCTGATCCGCCGTGTTTCCGTACTTCAGGCGGTATCCCGTCGGCCTCGGCACACTTGCCGTTTCGCAGCTGAACAAGTGCTCTCTCCTTCTCATCCAGTGTCGGCGTGTCCGCCAGATTCGCCTTCACATCGTGCTGCTTGAGGCCGTTCAATATAGGCCAGTCGATCTCTGAACGGTTGTTCAAGAGACAGTCAAGTGTTTTCGCCAGACCTGCATTATGTCTGCAGTCTGGGTGCAGGTAGCGCCTGAACGATGAGCGTCCTCAGCGGCTCCAATCTCGGTCCACACACCGCATTCGAGGAGTCAAAGAATTCCTTGTGTTGGCGGCGTTCGGCGTAGCATTCCATCTGCTTCGCCTTCTCCGTCCACTATGCATTTTTTATGCGACGGAGCTCTCGGGTCAGTCGCCGTCGAAGTTTGCGAAACTGACTGCTCTTTCCCAAGTCACTGGGGTCTGCAACATGTGCAGCAAATGCTGCATTCTTCCCCGACACCAATGCGCCGATCGTCGCATGGTTGTCATCAAACCAATCAGGTCGCTTACAGTTTGCGCGCCCGATGGTCTCCTCGACAGCAGCTGTCACCTGGTCGCGAATGTGGTGCCACAGGTCGCCCACTGGGCCATGCAATCCACATCACACAGGCGTGCAGCCATCGCCTTCTCCAGCTCAGTAGGTTTCGCCACAGTACCGAGGGAGAGAATGTTAAATTTACGCCGATTCACGGCGGGAGTGTAATACATCGATTTACGAAAATATATGAACAGTTTGGTCCTCACCAATTTGTGATCAGTGCCACACTCAGCTCCACGCAGTACACGTATCATGCGGACTTCACGCATATCACGCTGACGTACGATGACATAGTCGAGCAGGTGAGCGTGACCACTCCGTGGGTGCGTCCAAGTTGCTATATCACTCGCAATCAGTGCAAACCGAGTGTTCTTGTTCGTCAGGCGTGAGTGGCACACAGTGAGAACAGCCTGTCACCGTTCGCATTCGCTGAACTGATGCCTTGCGCACCGATAACATCTGCCCACACCGATGCATCACGCTTAACGCGCGCGTTGATGTATGTAATCTCAACAGTCTAGTAACTAGACATAGAGCCAACAAAGCCATGGAAATCAGTGGATAAGAGACTGTCATTGCGTCATAATCATCGTGGCATGCTAGTTGAAGGTGGGCAGCACACTTCAGCTAATATGCCGCAAGAAAATGGAATATTTTGACAAAAATAAAGAACAAAACATTTTTAGTTTGTTTGTCACACGCCGATTTTTCTCTTTTTTTGTCATTTTCAATAATAGTAAAATTAAACATGTGAATCAATACAACACTGTACACAATTCTTCCACTGATTCCTGTTGCGGGCCATGTCTTCAAGAGTGTTAAGCCATTGGCACTGCTCATCTTTGGGTCCCCATCCTGGAAGACGTACGGGTCCAACAGCGGCTAGACGCGACGTCAGCGATTTCGTGTGCTGTCGCCAAGTGGAAGGCTGACCACCACGCGGTCGCTTCCAGCCAGGTCCTTGACGAGCGAATAGAGCGCGACGCGGTAGATGCTCAGGTGCCATGCGTAGGACATGACCGAGCCATCTTAACTGGCGCAACAACGC